AAGACTTTCCTGGCCCTCCCTGCCATCTGTAGCCAACCCCAGCTGAAGTTTTGCCTTCAGCAAGATCAGCTGAGCTGAGCTACCCTTAGCAAAATGTTTACTGTTGTATGCACGTGGGAGGTTTCATAGTTATTTGTTATGTGGCATTGTTGTGGCCAGATAACCGATGCACTTGTGTGTAGACACAGGGGGTACCTTTTATGATATAATGGTGGATACATGTCATTATGCATTTGTCCAAACCATGGGATGCACAACACCGAGAATGAACCACTGTGTCAACTACGGACTTTGGGTGACTATGGCATCAGTGCAGGTTCGTCATTTGTAACAAATGTCCCACTCTGGAGGGGGACGTTGATAATGGGGAGGCTGTGCATGTGTGGAGGCCGGGGGTGTATGGGAAATCTCTGTACCTTCCCCTCAATTTTGCTGTGAATCTAAAGCTGCTCTAAAAATAATTAAATCCTTAAAAAAACACACATAGGCCTTTCAATTGCGACTGGGCCCAGAGTGCCCCCACCATGGTCAGGGGAGGAGGAAGAGGCAGCCGGCTATCTGTCCGCCACAAGCCAGGCTTTTCCAGGCTCACTGTAGCTGACGCCTTCTCTGCTCCAGCCCCATGAGCCCCCAGTCTAATCTGCTCATTCTCCCTTCTCCCCCGCTTTCCCTGTGCTTGATGGTCCTCAGCAAACATGTGGGGAGGAGTGAAGACAGGATGCCCTTTCTCTGCTAACTAGCCCATCCTAAGCACATACAGGCCATGAATACTGAAGCCTGGTCAACTCAGGAGGGCTGGCTGTGAACTCCAAACAACTTGGTCCTCATTTTAGGGAAAGGTGATTCCACAGTTGATGCATCTTGTGTGGCCTTCGAAAGACCAACAATAAAATGTCTCCTGTCCATGTCAAGATAAAGGTCCCGATCACCACTACAAATCTATACAACATGTAAGCCTCTCAAGAGGAAAGGGAGACCCCCACCCCCCATACCGGGTGTGTGGTGGGTTTTGCTGAGCTGATAGAAAAAAATGGGTGGAGTGGCCTTTGAAAATTTTCATCAAGGCCCTGGAATTTCAAAGGCATGAGAAGAATTGCATCAAGAAAAAAGTACAGCATTTTAACTTTAGCATAATTGGGCCTAATTGGGATCAAGAGCTGTCTGACATTCACACCACCCTGCAACAATGACGATGGCACAAACACTTCCTCTCGTTGCGGTGCTGTCTCCAGAGCCACCATAAGTGCTGAAGAATTAAGAACAAGAATTATAGCAGCTTTCACTGTCCCCATGTCAGAGGGAACAAAACAACCGTAAATCTAAAAGACAGCGAGAGCACACTTTGAATGTTACTGGAGAATTATTTGACAAATATTTACATGTTGCATATTAAATGATGCCATCCTTTTAGAGCAATAAATATTTTACAAGGAAAATTGTGCGTTGAGCCGCAGCCAATATTCTACCAATCTCAGGAACCAGGAAAGAACATATTTTCTTAAACAAAACGCATTGATCCTTAGTTACTCAAACCCAGTGAAACATCTGTCAGCTCGGGCAGTGCTCCCTTCTTAACTGACCCGAGGCCAGCAGCTCCGCAAACACAGCTCCAGAAAGCTTTTCCAAGCCTTTACATTTCTCTTCTAAGAAGCTGACTGAGGGCTGCAACTGCGAGCTGTTCATTCAGTAGTTAATGCAATTACCTCTACTCCACCAGAGCTCTAGGGCAGCGGTTCTCAACCTGTGGGTCGTGACCCCTTTGCGGGTCGAGCGACCCTTTCACAGGGGTCGCCTAAGACCATCAGAAAACAAAAAGATACTTACATTACAGTTCATAACAGTAGCAAAATGACAGTTATAGAGTAGCAACGAAAATCTTTTTATGGTTGAGGGTCACCACAACATGAGGAACTGTATCAAGGGGTCATGGCATTAGGAAGGTTGAGAACCGCTGCTCTAGGGCTTCCTGGAGGTTTTTACTGCCACTAATTGTGACAGCATGTAGACTAAGGCCCAAAAGGCTCTTGCCTCAGGGCCTCTGCACTTGCCTTTCCCTCTACCTGGAGTGCTCTCCCCACCAGATGACTTCTCTACATCTTTATTCAAATGTCACCTACTCTCTCACATAGTTGCCCTTACCCCCTAAGCCCCCGGATGGCCCTCACTCAGCTCCAGGTGCTGCTGGCATAGACAGAGTAAGAAGAAAGACCTCCCTGAGAAGGTGCCCCAAGATAAGGCAGTGAGCAAGTGGTGTGGCCCCAAAGTTGGGCACTGGCAGGCTAAAACCAGTTTGTTTCCCAATATCCTATTTTTTAGCCAGCTACTCCAGACCACTCTCTCATCACGTGGCCCAGGTCAGCCACTCTGGCTTTAGCTCCCACATTCACCCTCTGGGCCACGCCTCGACCAACCTCGCTGTACCTGCCATCACTCCCTTCACTCCGTCTGCCTGACTAGAATGTCCTCCTGCCACCGCCTCCAAAAGTCTCCCTTCATGTGGCTTCCAGGGCTGTCCTCAGCTCCCTGCATCCAAGACCCCTGCTCCACGCATCTTCCGACATCCCACCTCTGGCTGTAAGCAGCAGGCACTATTTCTCTGAGTTCTTGTCTCCTCAACTAAAAGGTTAAGACTCTCAAAGGCAAAGGGTGTTTGGTTCATCTTTGAGTCTTCTAGAGTACCTAATCAGTGCCTTGCACACAGTAGGTCTGTGAAGAACACTTATGCAGTGACTCACTACTCCATTTGCCACGGGGCTGTGCATTTGAACAATGGGACATTTTATTCTCTCTGTTTTCCAGGAACACAGAGGCCATTGGAGCAATAGCATCCAGAAGTCATGGGAAGAACAGAAGCGCTGGCCGTCCCTCCTCAGAGCACAGAACACAGGACTTGCTCCTTCTGATCAGAAGATAAAAGAGCCCCGGGGTCTTCCGGTTGGGGCTCATGTGCCATTTCTCCATCATGGTTTGGTGGGAAGCAGAGAAGAGGAGGCTCAAAGCAGAGAAACACGGGGAGGTTCTCAACCAAAAGGAAAAGCAGAGAGAAAAATAGCTTTGCATGGCAGAAGGAAAAAAAAAGCTGGAGGATGCACATTTCTGAGCAAGGAGAAAGCAGGTGAGCGAGAAACCAGACGAGATGGTGGAGAAGGGCCATGTCAGGGTGCTGCGTGTCAGGGGTCTTGTGCTCACAGTCCCGGGAATGAGCGGCGGCGTCCTTAGCCTTCATTTTACAACGAGGAGACTGAAGCCAAGAGCGACTAAGAGGCTGGGCAAGCCTCCCCTTTCCACGGCCCTCCCTGACTCTGCTGAGGGAGGGGCTTTCAAAAGCGCCCAGGACCCAGTGTGTCAAGCCCATTATTCTCAGTAGGCTCCGATGCAAATGTTTTCAAACTTTTTAATGTTTACCCCCAAAGTAAATAATAAATCTGAGCCCAGTGGAGCCTCAGCGCGGGGGCTCAAAGAGCGAAGTCCCGCCTATGCAGCACTGGATACCCAGGGCTGCCCAGGACTTGGGCAGCACCTACCCCCCTACCCCCCCCCTACCCCTCCCTCCGTGTTCTTCCTGATCCTTGTGGAATTCAGGGAAGAGAGGTCCCTGATATAAACATTTGTGTGTGAAAACTCACCTAGAAAAAGTGAAAGTAGAGCAGGAGAAACAGCCCCTAGAGCCTAGGAAGCTCAAAACCCCAGTTACCCCTGCGAGCGCGTTACCCCAGTTACCAGAGGGAGGGCAGGGCTGTGAGCTGCCCCCGTCCCAGCTGGACCAGAGTGATGCTGCCCATGAGGGCCCCACCTTAACGCTCCTAGTCCTAAGGGACTCAGGCCAGCACTGCCTGACACATTACAACAAGCACTGACCCTTCCCCAAATTTACATGCTATGTCAAGTTAGACCCATAAGCATGACACTCCCAGCTCCTGCGTGTTTAAGTCCAGTGCAGACCAGTCAGGGACAAACCACCCTGCCCCTGATAAACCAAAGGCACAAGGTCATACAAGTTCCCAAGTACAAGCACATGTCTTCTGTCAGCTGCGGGCTCCCAAGCAAAAGCACTTGCATTCCTGGTTTGTGCTGGGCTGAGACCCAGGTCCCTAGGGACCTGGGGAATGTGACAATCAGGTAAGACTGTTACTTGTCCACATAACACAGACTACCCAGCATTTGGCCACAGTCACTCTGTGGTTTTTCCCTCCAAGTGCTTGGTGGGTTGTGTCTGGTGAGCCAGCCCATCTCAGTTCTTTAAAAGCCAACTTTTTCTTTCCTTTTCTAAATGTTCTTTGGCGTCTTGACACGACTAATGGATACGCCACGCCTTTCCCCAACCTCGCCTGCCTCACCGGAAGGGTGCCCACCCCTCCGTTGCGGTCCCCAGGGTGGGGGGGAGCGAGGGAGGGCAGTGGCATTGGCTCGTGGCCGTGACCGTGGGGACATCAAATCGGAGATCACGCTGGCCAGTCGCCGCGCGGGTCTCCAGGCACAGCCGGGCGTGGGATGGCGGTGGTGGGGGGGGGTTGTAAGCAGACGATCTGAGAGGGAACTCCGAACCCTGGTAGGCAGGAGCCACCCCGCGATGGGGCGCGTAACGGAAAGGGCAGCGCGAGGGGCTGAGGGGGGCCATCGGCGCTCTGGGAGAAACGGGTGAAATGGGTTGTCCCCTGCAGGCGAGGAAGGTAACAGTCGGAGGGGGCGGCCCCCCAGGTTGAGCGCGGTTTCCAACCCAGAGGCTTCCAGCCGGCTCCAGGGGGGATTCAGGGACCCGAGGAACCGGGGTGGGGGCGGGGGGACGGGAAGAGGATGCTGTGAAGACGCGGAACGATGGGCTTATCCCGGGAAACTGTGACCTCGGCCAAATCAAACGCCCCTCCCCCAGCCTGGGACCGGCAGGCTACCCATGCTCCACGCGTGCCTCGCGCCCCAGAGCGAGGAAAAGCCTCTCCTTGCAGTAGCAAAGTCACCGCGGGACCCGCACGGAGTCGGGGTCCGCGGGGCTGCGGGCTTACCCGGCCGTTGGGGTCCGTCTCCCGCACCTGCTCGGCCCGCGGCCCCCGCCGCACCAGCGCCTTCAGCAGCCCCAGGTCGTTGGCGCTGGCGGCGCGCAGAAGGGTCGCCGCCTCCGCGCCGTCCTCCGGGACTCCCTCCCGGGCGCTCCACGCGCTTCCGGCGCCGCGCTCCTCGCGGACGGGCGGGTAGAAGGAGTCGTCCGAGGCGTAGCTGCCGGTGTCGGGCAGACGCGAGAAGTCCTCGTACTCCTCGTCGTCGGCGGGGTCTTCCGCGGCCCGCGTGTCCCGAGGCGGGGACGGAGGTGGCGGAGACACGCAGAGCGCCCCGCCGCTCTCCGGCCCGGGCCCGGCCAGCAGCACCATGCCGGCGGCCGGGGCGCGGGCCGGGGGACTGGGACTTGGGGAGCGCACAGAGGTCACCGCCCCTTGTCCCCTGCGGCCTCAGAAAAGCCGTGCTCGGCGCGCTCAGGCCGGCAGACACGAGCGCGAGGCGGCGGCGCTGGAGAACCCCAGTCACTGGAGGCTGGAGCGCGCCCCTCGGGGGTGGGAGGAGCCGCGGGGGCTTTCCGAGCGCGGCGGGCGGGCGCGGGCGGGACCTGGCGGGAGGCGGGCCAGGCGGCTGCG